ATAGAAATAAAAGGTTTTTTTTTTAAAAGTGCTGCAGGAAGTAAACTGTATTTCATTGGAAGACTGCACTGTCTACGTACAGCCCACCTTCCCCAGTTATGTGTACTCTTTCATTGTCTTTGAACTATTTTTACAATTTTGAAAGTGTAGATAACTGATAGATATGCAAACCGTCCTTCATGGTAGAGGTTCCCTTCAAGCTGTCAGCCACATTCCTCGTGGGAAAACCAACTAACATACACAAAATATTTATGCATTCAATTCAACATTCCTTTTTCCACATCAAATTGTCCTTTGAATACTGTGATGGCATTGAGTAAGTTAAATAAAAGCTTTAACATCTGTTCATTTTTATGTATGGGAGTCATGATTTTACCTTTTCTGAAAATTATCTTTTAAAAACATAAATCTGGTCATGTTACTCCCCAGCTTACCTGCCTCCAAGCTTCCCGACTGCTTTTGGAATGAATCCCAAACACTTCCTCAGATGGATAAGGCCCTGCCCGGCCAGGGCCCAGCCTGCCTCTTGGACCTCATCTGCTCACTCTGCCCTTTGCCAGGACTCCGGGACTACTGGCCCTTTTTCCAGCTCCCTGAGAACTTCAAGCCTGTTCCCGCCCTGTGGCTCCTGTAACTACTGTCCCTCAGCCTAAACCGCTCTCCTCATCAGTTCAGTTCAGCTCAGTTGTGTCCGACTCTTTGCGACCCCATGAATCGCAGCACGCCAGGCCTCCCTGTCCATCACCAACTCCCGGAGTTTACTCAAACTCATGTCCATTGAGTCGGTGATGCCATCCAACCATCTCATCCTCTGTCGTCCCCTTCTCCTCCTGCCTTCAATCTTTCCCAGCATCAGGGTCTTTTCCAATGAGTCAGTTCTTTACATCAGGTGGCCAAAGTATTGGAGTTTCAGCTTCAGCATCAGTCCTTCCAGTGGATATTCAGGACTGATTTCCTTTAGACTCTTCTGATGGATGGCTCTTTCTTAGGAGTTACTCTCAACTGGATGGTTCCACCTCAAAAAACTCTTCTCAATCACCCTATCATAAGTAACATCCCCATGCTGTTTTTTAATCATTTCTATATGAAATAATGATAGTGTTATTATGTATTATATATTATTTAACATTTTAAATATCATAACATATAAGCATAATTTATTATACTTTTTATAAATACATATTTGTTATATAAATATATTAATATCATTCAGCTAGCTACTTGATTACTTATTACCTGCCCACCCCAATTCTATCACAATAGGATCTTGATATTTGGCTCCACTATATCCAGAGCTTCCCAGGTGGTGCTATTGGTAAAGAAGCTGCCAGCAAACTCAGGAGACTTAAGACATGTGAGTTTGATCCCTGGGTCAGGAGGATCCCCTAGAGAAGGGAAAGGCAACCCACTCCTGTATTCTTGCCTGGGAAATCCCATGGACAGAGGAGCCTGGTGGGCTACAGTCCATGTGGTTTCAACCATAGCCACTTAGCATGTGTATTGTCCACTGCCTAGAAGGATTCCAGGCACATAGTAGGCACTCAATAAATATTTGTTGAATAAATCCCTGGGTGCATGATGCTCCTAGAAGTAGTGAAGTCCTCATCGCTGGAGGTATTTAAGCATGGTTTATACGACCGCTTGACAGGGTCTTAGGAAAGCGATGGGCACAGGCTCAATCACAAGAATAAAAGACCATTTTGGTCCCTCTAGGACTGTGTGCTGATGATTCAGTGGCTACCGTGCCCTTTCTACTATGCAAATGGGAAAAGCAAAGGAGTATTCCTCAGTCATTTCCCACCGAGTGATAGTTCGCACACCCCTGTTCCTGCTGCAGTATCATCTCAGCATTAAAATGTTGAAGCTAATCAGACATTTAATTTCAAAGTGGAAGGTCATTATCTTGTCACAAAATTTTATTCCAATTACTTTTTTTTTCTATTATATGAAATGAATTAAAAGTAGCACAAAACATTGGGAGATCAAACAGTCAATCAGAAGCTCATTAAATATCATTGAAATTGGTGCAATAAAAAGCATTTCCCATGGCTGACTTATTATTTAAAAGCTATATTCTAGATGGCTCAAGGAATTGACATGCTGCCAGTCAAAAAATCACCCTATCCATAAATAGCCACTTGGCTTTTTAAAAGTTCACTCTTTTTTTTTAAGTAAGAGTAAATACATAAAAAGATTTAAATCGTAGGTGTAATTACCATCCTGTCAGCCCCTGAGACCCTAAAGAGAGGATATCAGCAAAATCACTGATAATTTGGACTAAAATTTACAGCATGATGCTTACAAAAGTGCTGCCAGTGATCTCATAAACACTTCAATATATTACATTTATATACAATACTCAGGTATGTACAACCCCAGGCAGGGAACAGTGGTCACTTACAATTTTAAAACTGAGTTCAACTCCACATTTGGGAGTAAATGCCCATTTCATTTTCTAAAACGTGATTATTAAGCATTTCATTTTTCTATGGATCCAGACATAGGTGACTGCTAGCATTAGGATCTAAAAGCTGGTCATTTCAAAAATTCTAGTATTTTTCCTCTAGGGTTTCTTTTTATTTTTTTAGTTAAACCACTAATTTTACCATTCAGTTTTATAGAAACATCCACTTCTCAACATACAGAATGGCAGATCCTTTCCATTGGTAAACCAGAACAACAGAAGTACTGTTCCCAGTCTCTTAAGGTGCTTAAGTGGTGAGGCCGATACAAATTAAAAATACATGAGAAGAAAAAGCTCCCAGGTATAGGAAGTTATTTCTTCAGTAGTAGAACCGATGAATTTCTCCCCCACCACCCTCCCCCCGACCTGCTCACACTGGCACCACCCAATTTCTTTTCAAAAGCCAGGACTTATTGGCAAATTATCTGGGAGTAAAGTGGGAGGAAAACATTTCAATGCAAAATTCAGAACTGCTTTATAGAAAGAAAAGTGTGGGGAGGTTTGTTATCATTTATTTCCTGCAGTGTATCATTCAATTTCAGCTGTCTCACCTCTGAGAAGCAGCTCCCCCATTTTTCACTTATGTGCCTAAGAAACATCTCCCTGGCATCTCATTCTCTTTTCCCGTCTTTCACCAGCATTTCATTATTTCTTAACTGTCCCTCTCATGCTTGTCTTCCTTTTTCTTACCGATCCACGTGTCCTCATTTAGCAGTTTTCAGAAGCCAGGGAGAAACGTTGCAAATAATGTTAAATATGATTAATATCTTGAATTCCTTGAAATATGACATGCATGAGTTACAATGAAACCTCTTTTATTTCCCCATGAAATGCTTTTGCATAATGAGAAAGAAAATGTCCTCTATGCCCTAATCAGCCCTGACAGTTCCTGGACTCCCAAATACTTTTATTTATGGCATTATTTATTTCATCTCTAATAAATGGAGGGGAGAAAACCGCAGCAGGATCTGAGGAGGCCGCAGGAGAGAGGGAGACTGGAGGGCGGAGGAACGCGGAAGCTGATCCTGCCAAGAGAAAGGTTTCCAGAGGAAGGGAAGTCTGGCCAAGGAGAGACCCAAGTCCTCAGAAGAAGAAAATAGGTCACTTTTCCAAGACTGAGAGGAGAGCTCTGAAAAGGAAACTAACTTCACAGTGGAGAGATGACAGGCACACATCAAGGAGGAGACGGACCCAGAATTCTAACCTGGAGAGTGAAGACTGAAGGCTAGAAACCAAACCTGGGAGGGAGTTGACCTAGGGGAGGGGTGGTACGTTCCCAAAGTGGCTGGGAGAAGCCAGGACAGTCCTCTAGATTTGAGGGCATTTCTAGCCCGTGGGATCCTTCTCTGAACGACAGAGGCGCTTCTCTCATTCAACTAATGAAATTGTGTGTCGTCCAGAAACCCCGCCCTGGTGGCCTCAGAAGCAGTGAGGAGCTGCCTGCGCAACGCGGAGAGCCAGAGCTTTTGGGCAATCTTGGTCCCACACATACACACACACCCCTCAAATGACATTGTTGAGAGTATCTAACCACCATCCCCAAAGGAGGTATCTGGTCATATTCTTTCCCCTAAATTGCAGTCTACCTGCTACAAGAAGTGAGAATTTGCATATCTGGGTACATCTGTGCAACTCAGCCACACACTTGAGTATCTGACTTTGGGCAATTTCCTCAAAGTGCCTCAGTTTTCTCATCTGTAGAATGGGGAAACAGGATTCTGTTATGCTCTCTCATAGGAATCTAATGAAATAATGTAAAAGTCTGATGCTTTATGTGCTCTTATGACAGCATGAACTCGAAGGCCATGAGCTGGATGTAGACAACAGCCCGTGGGCGCGCAAACAACTCGCAGCAACCTGGGTCAAGTCTTCAAGATGTTCTTTTCAGAAGGCTGGCGAAGCAATTTCCGATAGGCAGAAGAGCGCGGTGTATCATCTTCCCAAGGTACACACGCACCCCAGCTGCCCCGCCCCGCCCCAACTCCTCCCAGCTGGGTGCAACCCGAGAGTTTGGGGTCGTGCTGGGGGCGCCACGAGCGCCGGCCTAAAACTGGGCCCCGCCCATAACAGCAGGCGCCTCAAGTGCACGGGGCTCCGAAGTCTCGTCCCGGCCGGAACCTCGCGCTGTTACCAGGACGCCCTCGGGGTCCCGGCTCTTTCCTTCCCTTCCCCCGTCGGAGGCGCACGCGGGGCTCGGCGACCACGCGGGCGGCAGCGGCGGCACCAGGCTCCGCCCCCGCCCCCATTATCATTAGCAGATATTACCCTAAACACTTGCTCTTTACCTCCTTTCTCCCTCCAGGCATTGGCGAGGCAGCCTGTCAATCAGCGCTCGGGCGGCAGCCCCCCGCGCAGGGGTTCGGCGATGCCAGGCTTCGCGACAGGCGGCGGCGGTGACGGCGGCCGCGGCACAGACACCCACCCTCCCACTCGCGCGCACCCGGGCACAGCCGGCGGGCGGGCGGCAGCGGCATTCTCGGAGCCCGGCGCCGGGCGCCGAGGGGGCGTGCAGCCGGGAAGCGGCTGGGAGGCGCAGGATGGAGGAAGAAATGCAGCCGGCAGAGGAGGGGCCCAGCGTCCCCAAAATCTACAAGCAGCGCGGCCCCTACAGCGTCCTCAAGACGTTCCCCGGCAAGAGGCCCGCGCTGGCCAAGCGCTACGAGCGACCCACCCTGGTGGAGCTGCCGCACGTGCGGCCGCCCCCGCCGCCCTTCGCCCCGCACGCCGCGGTCTCCATCAGCAGCAGCGAGCTGCCGCCGCCGCCGCCGCAGCAGTTCCAGGCGCAGGGATCTTTCCCCCCTGGGCCTGGCCGGGCCAACGCCGCCGCGTCGTCGTCGTCTCCGTCCGGCACGCCCGCCGCGTCCCAGGGCCACCTGAGGACTACGGCGCCGCCGCCCGCGGCCCCCGCCGCGTCATCATCCTCTTCTTTCGCCGCCGTCGTCAGGTACGGGTCGAGCCCGGCGGCCGCCGCGGGCAGCAGCAGCAACACGGGCGGCGACGGCGCCAGCCTGGAGCTCAGCGCAGGTACCAACTTTCGGGCGCAACTTTCCAGGGGGCCGCGCGCGGGCTGGGAGTGGGGGCCGGACACCCTCGGGGGGCAGCGGCGGCCGCTCCGGGAGAGGCTGGCGCTCCCCGGCGACACTCTCCCGTTCCTCTCCGCGGCTCCACTTTGCCCTTCTACTTCTCTTCTTCATCTCTCTCCCCCCTTCATTTCTTTCCCTCTTCTTCCTTCGCATTTGCTCTCTGGCTCGCTCTCTCCCTCGCTCTGTCGCGGTCCCTCCGCGGGCCCCAGGGCGGTTTCTTGTTTTTTTTTTCCTTTTGTACTAGCGCGCGCTCTCTGCCCCTTTTCCCGTCCCCGCGGGCGCGGTAAGACGCGGGGCTTCCCCTGCTCCGGTCCCGCGGGCGGGGCGAGGCGGGCGGCCGCGACTTCAGGGATGGAACCCCCGGCGCTGCACGGCCCGCCGCCCGCCGGGTGGGCGCCGCTGCACGGCGGGATCCCGCGCCTCTCGAGCTTTCTGGGCCCCGGCCCCTTTCGGGGAGCACTCCCCCACGGGTACGAGACTTCTGGTAGAAGCCGGCCCTCCTGCCCAGCTGCGGGGAGGGAGGCGGGCTGATTGATGGGAGAGGCCGCAGGCCCCAGGGGTGCTCTCTGCTTCCTGGGGACGCGCAGCCCCGTTTATCCCGCTCCTCGGAGCTGAAAAAGTTCCTGCTCAGGCCTTTGACGGCACTTGGGAGCCCTCCGAATGCTGCATATGAGTGAATCCAAAGCCTTTTTTTTTTTTTCCCTCCTAGTGAAAATAGGAGCATTGTCTTGAAATGAGTTATAGAAGCGTAACCTCTTCTTCTGTTGTTTGTCAATATTTTGACATATGAAGGATTGGTTTTGAGAAAGAAAATCTAATTACAGGTTATAGTGAAGACTTGTCCTGTCACATCCCTCAGTGATTTGGAGGGGTTCTTGTGTGGATGTCCTCATTGTTTGCAAGAGGTGTTTTTTTCCTGTGTTGATATTCTGTTGTGCTTTTGTATTCGTTGTTAGGCTATCCTGCTTCCTTTTTCCTCATTTTTCTAGTGTTTGCCCCCTTTCTTTGTGAGGTTTGTGTGCTTTCTGGGTTTGGGTTCTGATTTTCTCATCAGCTAGTTCATGGTCATTCCTTGTTCATTTCCTAGCTCTGCTTTCTTGCTGTTCAGAAGTTTGGGTCTTTTCCCATATTCTGGACTTTGTGCTTACTGCTTTGCACAACCTCCAAGCCGCCATGTTCACTGGGGGTTTCCCCCTCTTCATCTGCGCACTTTGGTCTTTAATCTCATCTTGCTTTCTCCTTTCAGACTTCCCTGACTGTGTTTCAGTCCTTTACCTTTTTTAAGAGTATAAGCCTGCCCCCTTTCATTTCCACGTTCATCCATAGTTTTAACCTTGCTTTTTCCTGCTGTTTTTCCTGTATTCTGTTTTCTGCACCAGTTACTTGCTCTCCTTTCCAGGGCCCCTTCTTCCCTGGCAGTTTCCCCACTCTCATCCATGAAGAGTGTCTGTGGTTTGGTTTTTCCTGCTTACCTTGTTTTGAATGTCTTCTCTCAGTGTTGACTGTTGTCCTGTTTAGTATGTCTGTCCCCAGGTGGAAATCATGTCACTGAATCTAAAAGAGTGAAAAGGAGCTTGCTGACCCTCCTCAGATTCCCTGTATTTCCTTTTTCCCTTTATTTTCAACATTTCTTCTTTTTTTCTTTTATTTATTTATTTTTTTTTTTGAGAGAGCTCATGGAGTGATAAGCTTGATAGCCCCAAGAACAGGATGCCACGTGCTTGCTGGAACGATGGGAATTGCGTGGTAGGTTTCCTCCTAGCAGTAAGGAGAATCAGTTCAGTTCAGAGGCTCAGTCGTGTCCGACTCTTTGTGACCCCATGGACTGCAGCACACTAGGCCTCCCTGTCCATCACCAGCTCCCAGAGCTTGCTCAAACTCATGCCCATCAAGTCGGTGACCACGTGCAACCACCTCATCCTCTGTCCCCTTCTCCTGCTTTCAGTCTTGCCCAGTGTCAGGGTCTTTTCCAGTGAGTCAGTTCTTGGCAAATGGTCAGGGGCAAAAAAAAAAAAAAAAGACCTTAGTGCTAGACATCGTGAATTGTGGTCATAATATTAATCACTGGGGACAAAGCCATCTCTTAATGGGCTCAGTGATGTGAGTGGCCCTCAGAAGGACAGGCAGCTGAAGAGATGATTGGCTCTTTGAGGAACTAGTGGTTCCACTTTGAACAAGTAAGCGTGTGTACCCAGACAGCCGTGTAAGCATACTTGGTGGAGTGGAAGGTAGGGGTGGGGTTCGCTTGTTGCACCCTCACTACAGTGCTATTGCAGTGTTATTACAGTGTCTCAGGCCACCTGGTAAACTGAAAATAATCAAAACATCAGTGAGATGAAATGAGTGCAGGATGGAAGAGAAATAACTGAGCGTCCAGAGTAAATGCTGTGAAAAGATGAAAGGGATGAAGTGAACCTTATTTGCCATTAAGGGCCATAAACCATTGAGAGGAGACACATGATTTAAAATAGATTTTTCAGTGTTCTTATAAAATCTCCTGAAGAGAATAATTTTCCTTAAAAGGGGTAATATACCATGGTTCTAAAAGCATATTTTTCCTCTGTGGGAGGCTTAGAGTTAAAACCCACGTAGATCTTGATATGCAGCCTAAATTTGGCATCAGGAAATGGGAAATTGCATCTTTAAGCAGAGTACAATCAAAAATGAATTACAATAAATCCTATATAATTGCATAGGTCATTCTCTTTAATGAGATTTTATTAACCTGACTGTCAAGCTTTTGAGTCAGGCAGATATTTTATCTTCTTCAACTGATAAAAGTGTCAGCTATAAACCACCATATAAATATTCATAAATCTACACATCTGTGCCAGCCTATCAGCATCATTCTTTTGGACATTAAAAGCATTCTAATTACTTTCTGTCTAGCAGAGCTGAAATGCTGCCTGTTATAGTATGTGCTTGGCAGGCATGATTGCTTTTGTTTGCCATCACAAATAGCAGCATCCTATTTTATATACCGATGGTCCAGAAAATATTCAGGGATTGACTGAGCAGGATGAATATTAGGAAGCACCATCTGGTTTTGATAGCACCGAGTATATTAACTCATCTGTTAATTTTTGACACATCATTGATTTATTTATTTAGAAAAATTGCATCCTGTTTTGCTGTGTTGATGTTTGCCATTAGGGAAAAAAAACTGATGGCTTTTTTTTTTAAGACATACAGTAGTTCATTGATTTGAGAACAGGGTGATGCTTCCAGAGATGCTTTCATTTTGTAACTTCTATTTTCTCTGCCACAAAGTCCTCTCATAGAAAGAAGTTATATTAATGTTTTAAGAAAATCATGTATTTTGAGCTAGTTGTAAATCATTTTGGTAGATTACAATAAATATATGGATACATGGTAGTATAGGTCACAAATTTTTTTCTGCTTTTGCATTTTTAATATTAATATATTTCACCCTTCACTGGGCTAAAATCAAAAGGTTACCACTAATCTTGACTACTGTGATCTCCTTCATAGAAACAGAATACTCTTGGGGATCTGCTGTGATGGGCAAATTCCATTCAAGGCTTTACTTACAAAGAAGGATGTTAAAGTAGGGAGCCTGTGTTTCATTGCTGAGTTCCCATCCCTCTTCACTTATCAGATTTAGGATGGATTAAACCTCTTAAATTCTGAAGAATTTCTAGAAATGACTTTTTGAATTACAAAAACAATCATGGGTTCAGATTCTGAAATCAGACTAGGCACAATTTGCAACATGATGTTATCTCCCGACAGGTTTCACAAAGCAAAATAAATCTGAGAAACGTCATTTTAGAGTGCTTTATGATTGTGATTTTTAAAAAATATTTTGTGATATTTCATTTTAGAGAAGTTAGAGATAAAGAAGGTTGTGTTAAAGCCTCTCTGTAATCTGTTGACTTCCTTGCTATCACTTGAGTGGAACATTCTGTGACTAGTGGAGGGGGGGAATTCAAAAATTTAAAATACATGTTCACACTTTGCTCAATTAAGAATCATGGGTGAATGTGCCATACAACTGTGTTCATATGAAAACAGAACTTTTCTCCATTTCTCAGCAGTAATGGGCATCACACAGTAGCTGCATTTCTAATTAGATTCTGTCTGGAAAGGTGAAGGATTGCTCGCTGCAATATGTGTTAAGTGGAAAGATTTGCTGTTTTCCACCAAGTATGATAGTAACATTTTTCATTGCACTCTTCAATATATTGACATAAAATACTATTCAAATATTATAAAGTACTAAAAAGAAGAAAATTCAGCCTTTTAATGGCTTCAGTGGCTATTTTTACGTATATCAGTTCTGAGAACAAATTCTGAATAAAGCATTTGGAAAAACTGCAGGCAAGAACTGTTTTATGGCTATAACTATTCTCTGATGTTCTGAATGCACTTTAATACGTTATCTTCATAATATAGCATAATACATAATGACTTTTTCTCAACATGTTACGAGTTTATCCTTCACTTAAGAAAGCAAATCATGCTTGTCTATACATCAGATTTTTTTCCCCTTAAAATCTGTACCGTAATGTGATTTATCAATATTCAGACAACTGAACTCCTTTTAGGACACTGGATAAATATATTCAAGCTGTTCTTTCTAAGCAATTCTGTTTTAGTCTTCCATATTTTGTTTCTTTCATCAAGGTTATATTAAAGGTGTATAGGCTGTGAATCAATTGGGACTATTCTGATTAAAATGCAAACAGCAAATACAACTTCAGGTCTGGAATGGGATTATAGGATTAAATGAATGAAAACTGCTAATGTGCTAGGATTGAGAATCCCCAATCAATATTGTCCTTTGATTTTACTAATAAAAGAACAAAAACCTGGGAGTAAAAAATGAGAATGCAACATGTTAAACCGCTCCACTTTATGGTTCAGCTGTTTACTTTCTGATTTATTTGGTTTTGGCCATTGTAAAATAGAATACCCAACTATTTGAAGTCTTTCTCCATTACGTTTCAGTTCAGATCATGAGCTCATTTCTTCCTTTCCACCTAGCTGGGGGCAGAGTCATCGTGACTTGCAGTGTTTGGTGCAGGAAAGATAGTTCCCATATACCCATCCCTTTTTCTCCAAAGTAGGAAGCCAGCTTTATCTTGGCTGCTACTTGGGTCAAGTTCCCGGCCCGTCAGTCAGCTCTGGCCTACCACTATACCTGGCAAGTAGTTTTTCATTCAGCACTCAAAGGTAATTGTGGTTAAAAAAACAGGCCTGTGCCTCATATCTGTGGGATTCAGGATAAGAATACAAATGCTGTAAACTAAGATCCTGTTTTATCTACAAGAGTCCCCGCGTGTATTCAGTAAATATTTCTTGAGATACTGTGCTGGCCCTCGAGCTGCAGTCCACTCATGGAACACGCAGTCTCCGAGGTCTCTGCCGAGCTGAAGGGTACAGGCCTCTGTGACTTGCCTTTTTCCTGAGGGATTTAGGAATGGTAGCGTTTTATAGACTTGGGAGATGTGAGGGGTGCTTCCTGATGCTCTGGGCCTTAGATAAATTATTAAATAGTTAGAAAAGGAGACTTGTACCCCCTCCCCCTGATATCTGAGTGACTTTAGGGAGACTAGTAAGGCAAAACAACAAAGAGTGTGAAGCACTGCATGGAGGTTTCTGAAGGTTGGTTTTGCTGGTCATTAACCTGGGTTTTCTAGAGAAACCAGTTTTCTTAAATCACAATTATTCTGGTTGGTTGTCCCCAAAGAAACCCTTGAGCATCTCACAGTTTTTCAGGTTTAAAGTTCCAGGGACGGCAAGTGACTAGTTGTTGTTTGGACACTCGGTCGTGTCCGACTCTCTGAGACCCCGTGGATTGTGGCACGCCAGGCTTCCCTGTCCTTCACTATCTCTCGAAGCGTGCTCAAACTCGGGTCCGCTGAGTCAGTGATGCCATCTGACCATCTCATCATCTGTCGTCCCCTTCTTGCCCTGCTTTCATTCTTGCCCAGCATCAGGGCCTTTTCTAATGCGCAGGCTCTTTGCATCAGGTGGCCCAAGTATTGGAGCCTCAGCATCAGTCCTTCAGTGACTAGTTATGTTTCTATAATAAACAATAGATGTTGGCATCTAGAATCTACAGTATTTTGTTTGTTGCCAGTATTTTACATAGAGGGAAGAGGAAATAAGAGACACCCTCGTTGCCAAACATAAACCCTAAAAAAGTACCTCTCTCTGGAATTTATAAATTGCCCGTTCTGGATGGTGGTCTACAAAGAAGAGAATGTTCTTGTAGCATTTACGTTTAGGGTGAATTTTCAAAACCCTTAGACTGACAACCTTGAGTCACATTTTCACAATATCGACCAGGACGGGGTGGGGGGATGGTTTTTCTGTATTTTTTCTTTTGGAGGTGAACTGATTGCTTTCTATGAGTTTTTTGCTTTCCACTGATTTACAGTTAATATGCTTTAGAATACGTTTGTGGAAACTAACTGGCCCTCTGTGTACGTGCCAGTTAGAGATCTGGTGGGAGAAACCCTAAGAAGGGCACTGTTGCTTTGCAGATGCTGCTGCTGTAGATCAGGCCAAGTTATCAGATAAAGTAAAAGAAAGAGTTGCGAACCCAGATGTCAGATGACACAGTCTTACTTTGGGGCTCCTCCTCCTCATTTGCCTCAGGGCCCACTCCTTGTTTTATCTTAGATGTTTAGTGAGCACTTCGCATCGGGGAGCAGCGTCCTCTCGGTGGGGATTGTATCAGCTGATTGATAGCAAGGGCGTGAGGGCGCTCCAGAAATAGCAGTGATGATTGCTGTGAGCGCCCCTGTCAGTGAGGAGTTGAGTCTGCAGGGCTGGCTTGATTCATTACAGTGAGGATATCAGTGAAGCCAAAGGTGTAAGTTCAGAGCCGTGCAGGCCAGTCAGTGCCATGGACAGGGATCTCTACTCGGCGCCCTGGTCCCACCCAGCCACTCCCCAGAGTCGAGTTGGGGCAGCTCATCGGGAGCAGCAGGAAGCCGGGCATCCCGGTCCGTGTGGATTCACTGTGTCACGCGGGTGTGCGGCAGAGAGCAGAGGTCTGTGTCTCTGACATTTCTGACTGTTGAACTCCAAGTCGAGGGCCCTGTTTGTCCTGTGTCTTGGCTGTCAGGCTCTGACGTGTCTTCTCCTCTGTTTCAGAGAGTCGTATGATCTTGGACGCTTTTGCTCAACAATGCAGCCGAGTCCTTAGCCTCTTAAATTGTGGAGGCAAACTTCTAGACGCCAACCATTCTCAATCCATGATATCTTGTGTGAAGCAGGAAGGCTCAAGTTACACTGAAAGACAGGAACCATGTCCTGTTGGCAAAGGGGTCCACAGTCAGACCTCAGACAATTTAGACATTGAGATGCAATATATGCAAAGGAAACAACAAACTTCTGCATTTTTGAGAGTTTTCACTGACTCCCTGCAGAATTACCTGCTCTCAGGGAGCTTCCCAACTCCAAACGCCTCCTCGGTCAGCGAGTATGGCCACCTGGCGGATGCGGACCCTCTGTCCACGTCCCCTGTGCACACGCTGGGTGGCTGGGCCTCCCCGGCGACATCGGAGTCCCATGGTCACCCGTCGTCTTCCACGCTGCCTGAGGAGGAAGAGGAGGAGGAGGAGGAAGGCTACTGTCCCCGATGCCAAGAGCTGGAGCAGGAGGTGATCTCACTGCAACAGGAGAATGAAGAGCTCAGAAGAAAGTTAGAGAGCATCCCAGGTACCCGGCCCTGTTACTTAAAAGCCACTTGCCACTCATTTCTTTCCGTTGCCCCATTTGTGTGTGTGCGTGTGTGTATGTATGCGTGGTTTTTGTTGTTGTCTGTTGGAACCAGTGATGTAGAAAAGTTGAAACAACAGGCATGCGCAGTTTTAGTCTGCCAGTGCCGAACAGATTTCAGACTGAGCTACTAGTCTTGTCCTGTGTTTAAGTCACCGTCCTCTCGGGTATAGACCTGAAGGCTGTAGTCCTATTAAAAGATGTCTCCATTGATACAAACGTGATTCCAAGATGTAGCGCGATGAGACGGAAATAGGCCGTGTGCTGTGGGCTTGAGTTTTCTTCAAAAAGTGATCCTGTTCCTAAATAGCTTTTGTATCTAAAGATTTTGATATATGTGTTTTATCAGTCTGTGATAGAAACTGAAATGAAATGATACCTACAAAGGCAGCGCTCAGAGAACAAATTGTCTCTTCTGTTCCATTAATCTCTTGCCTTTCTTGTTAAGTTTCAACAGGTGTGGTTTCTTTAGCATGCAAACTCCCCTTAAAGTCAACAGGCAACTGTGAACTAAAATGAATAGCTCAAAGATAGGCTAGTCCCAAATTAGTTGTGCTCCTGGCTAAACATGAGGCATTCGCTGCCTCTCAGAGACACTAGATTTGCAGAGTACTAAAGTCATCTTTATGGCAAGATCTTCTGTGGGTTGCAAAGCCATTTTTTCCTTATTTGGGAAGGTTCTGATTTTGTATGTAGCTTTGAGTTCATTGCTACATGTCTGTGGCTTTGTAGAGAGACTGGCATGATATTGTAAATCAACTGTACTTCAATTTTTTAAAAAAAATTTGAAAAAAACTATATAGCAATGCTAAATAAATAAAAGACAGTAAATAGGGATTCTTTTTAATAGGGATTCTCTGGCTGTCCAGTGGTTAGGACTCTGCACTTTCACTGCCAAGGATTTGGGTTTGATCCCTTGTCTAGGAACCAAGATCCCGCCAGCTGCAGGGCATGGCCAAAAAAACGAGACATTAAAACCTTTTTAATCATGCAGCCCATTGATAAAAAATTTTGAGCATGTATCCACCAGTGTACACATCCACTGATTATTTACATGCACGTACTACTATACTAACACATTATGTTCGAAGTAAAGCATACATAAATAAAAATTTAAAATTTTTAAGGCTGTTCCATAAATAGAAATTATGTTCTTTTCCTTATTCAATGTCTTTGCATCACACAATTTGGCAGCTTATGTAGAAAGATGGAAATGTTGGTGAAAGTTACCCACTTGTTTATTAGAGGTGCCAAACCAAAAGTTTACTTTCTTTGGTCCTTTCATTTAAAACACTCCCTGGATCATGCTGTGGTTTGGCTCAGAATATCTTGGAGTTAGACTGCATGCAGTCTGTCCAGTGGGAGACAAGCGAGAGGTGAGGTAAATGCATTCTCGGCTGTTGCACTTGAGCCCTGGAGTTAGACGCAAGGTCCTGGCATTGTTCCTGCCAGGGAGGCTGACTGCAGGAGAGAGACTGGCGGGACCCGGAAGAATGCGGTAGAACCAGAGACCTGTTGGTTTCTCCCGCTCAGAGAGAGAGGGGTGCAGCTAGCAGACTGGAATTTTACCACTTTCACAGTTGTGTGAATTATGATCCATTACCTGTGGGTTTCAATGCCACAAGGGGATGTTGCATCTTACCCCCATGCCGTTCCGTTAGGGGAGAGCACGGTGTCCTGGGGGCCAGCCAACGGCAGATTCTTAAATGAGCCGTCCAGAACTGTGGCTAAGGGTTTCCCAGTACAAGGACATGGGATACACATGCAGAGTGTTGTTACCCATTTCCTCATCCTGAATATTTGGCAAGCCAGCCGTCCTTGATAAACTTACTGAGCAAATTTGGGGTTCACTCCACCTGCTCTTTCCTGAATCTGTACAGGTGAAATGTCTGTGTCAGGAGTAAATCATTGTTGGCCTGCTGCTATTCATTGTCCTTTTCTACTGCCCAGAAAAACTAAAATGCTGCAATTTCTTGAGTTCTCTTGGTGGTCAGACATTGAGTGACTCTTGTTGAAAGTGGGCTAGTAATCACCGCTGTTGGTGTAAACACCCCACCACTGTTACTATAAACTGTCACCTCCATGAACTCAAATGAACAGCCATTCTACATAGAGAACCTTGATTGCTTAATTAGTCCATTTGTTGTTCGTTCACTCAGTTCTGTCTGACCCTCTGTGACCCCATAAACTGCACGACCCCAGGCTTCCCTGTCCTTCACTGTCTCCCGGAGCTTGTTTAAACTCGTCCATTGAGTCAGTGATGACATGTAGCCATCTCATCCTCTGTCGTCCCCTTCTCCTCCTGCCTTCAGAATTTTCTCCAGCATCAGAGTCTTTGTAATGAGTCGGCTCTTCCCATCAGGTGGCCTTCAGTTGCAGCATCAGTCCTTCCAATGAAAATTCAGGTTTGTTTCTTTTAGCTTTGACTGGTTTGATCTCCTTGCAGTCCAAGGGATTCTTCAAGAGTCTTCTCCAACGCCACAGTTCAAAAGCATCACTTTTTCGGTGCTCAGCTTTCTTTATGGTCCAACTCTCACATCCATACATGACTACTGGAAAAACAATAGCTTTGACTAGACAGACCTTTGTTGGCAAAGTCTCTGCTTTTTAATATGCTGTCTAGGTTAGTCATAGCTTTTCTTCCAAGGAGCAATTGTCTTTTAATTTTGTGGCTGCAGTCACCATCTTGCACTGATTTTGAAGCCCAAGAAAATAAAGTTCGTCACTGTTTTCTATTGTTTCCCCATCTATTTGCTGTGAAGTGATGGGACTATATGCAATGATCTTTGTTTTTTGAATGTTGAATTTTAAGCCAGCCTTTTCACTCTCCTCTTTGACCTTCATCAAGAGACTCGAGTTCCTCTTTGCTTTCTGCCATTAGGGTGGTGTCTTCTGCATATCTGAGGTTGCTGATATTACTGAAGCAATCTTGATTCCAGCTTGTGCTTCATCCAGCCCAGCATTTTGCATGATGTACTCTGCTATAAGTTAAATAAGCAGGGTAACAATATACAGCCTTGACGTACTCCTTTCCCCATTTTGAACCAGTCCATTGTTACAGGTCTGGTTCTAACTGTTGCTTCTTGACCTGCATACAAGTTTCTCAGGAGGCAGGTAAGGTGGTCTGGTATTCCCATCTCTTTAAGAATTTTTCCACAGTTTGTTGTGATCNTAGAAAGCTTGAGTCCTTGCTATCAGTCTAGGTAGTGTAACTTTAACGCTACATAAGATTAAATGTTTGTTTGTTTCTTTTTCAAGAATTACCACGGCAGGAGCTCTTTGAACACAGCAGGGTTTTCTTCATCACAAGCTCCTAATCCAGTAGATGATGAGTCATGGGATTAAAACGAAAATAACCTGCAAGTTTGTGGTACAGTTTTGATGCAGAGAAGAAAGTAGTTTTGATTTTTGATTTTTTAGAACAGAAGTATGAAACCTTGCATCTCCTATCCTTCTGTTTGTACTCCCACCCTTAAAAAAAATTCCTTACTGACTAGTTATGTGACATGCTAAAAGTTACAACGGTGCAATTACTAATACAAATGGTGTTAACCAGAAAGATTAAAACATTCTTTAAAAAAAAAACAAAAAAACCCACTTCCAGCAGTACTTTATACAAAATGGATAACTAACAAGGATCTGCTATGTAGAACTAGGAACTGTGCTCAATATTATGTAATAACCTATATGGGAAAAGAATCTGGGAGAAAAAAAAAAAGATATATATGTATACACACACATATTTATATGTAACTGAGGGCTTCCCAGGTGGCGCTCGTGGTAAGGAACCTGCCTGCCAGTGTAGGACATAAAAATGCAGGTTTGATCCCTGGGTCAGGAAGGTCTGCTAGAGGAGGGTGTGGCAACCCACTCCATATTCTTATCTGGAGAATCCCATGGACAGAGGAGCCTAGCAGGCTACAGTTCATGGGGCCGCAAGAGTTGGACATGACTGAGTGACTTTCACTTTCATGCGTATATAACTGAATCACTGTGCTGTACACCTGGAACTAACATGATACTGTTAATCAACTTATATAAAAATAATGATAACTTCCAAAGTAAAATAACTGTGACATTAAAAAAAACCTTGAAATTTTCTAAGTGCAGATACAGGGAAGGTACACTTAACTGTTGACATTATTAAAGAACATTCAAGTTTTTTAAATGTACATTTTTGATCATCTGAATTTATCTTTATAACTCCAAACAAAAATTAATGTTCACATTTTACAGAGCTAGTTTGCTACCCTCTTCCACTCTTTCGATTCTTGTTATTCACTGTAGTTCTGTGTAGCCTCAGGTCGCAATGTTTTTGTCAACCAGTCAACTCATAGCCTCATTTTAAGTGTGTTTTTGTTTAAAGAGGCCTTGTTTAATGTATAGTGCTGGCCGGTTGACGCTGAATTCACAGCCTGTGACTCACATCGGAACGAAACTCATCTAATACACATCTTCCCCTTGAAGTGCATCACAGCCTGTGTTCAGGAACACTAGACAGGGCTTCAGCTCTGCGTTTGGGACCCCTGTGAAACCGCAAAATCACCACGCAGGAGAGGCACAAAAATGAGAAAAACAGGGCCCTAAATGAGAACCCTCACTACCACATTGGGCTGAAACGAGCGGGCAGAAGGTGTCCTTGCCCAGCCTCAGCCGGGAGTGTGATTCCAGCCACTCGGGTTTCTCGGTGACCTGCCAGAGTCCAGTGCCAGCAAGAGCTCCTCAGATTCGAATTTGCCCATTACAGATCCATGTCAGTGAGTCATGTGTGTGCCGAGTCACTTCAGTCGTGTCCGACTCTCTGCGACCCCAGGGACTGTAGCCCACCAGGCTCCTCTGTCCATGGGATTCTCCAGGCGAGAGCACTAGAGTGGGTTGCCAAGCCTTCCTCCAGGGGATCTTCCCGACCCAGGGATCGAACCTGAGTCTCTCCTGTCTCC